GCTCCTTTCCCAATCGACCCACTGTCGTAATAAGCCGGGTTTCATGGGCCAGAGGGCATCCTCTATAGGTCCAATTCCCCATCTCGGCTCTGACCACTGCCGCTGACCGGTTTGTGCCCGCCGCCTACTTATACAGGAAGTAGGATGCACCGAACCGATCGCCTACCGCACTGGTAGGTTTGCTTAAGAAGTGGCCCCTCACGCGTCAGCAAACAGCATTGCTCCTCAAGATGCTCCGAGGTTGGGCAAGCCCGTCCAAGAAGATCATCACACTGATCGTCGGGACAAGCCAACCCGATCCCATCACAGTCTCATTTCTTGACAATTCCAAGAGAGCTCCGTGCTAGTGCCTAGGTGGTTTTTATGCCACCTAGGACGCAAGCACATCCTTCTCAAGGCCGTACAGCAAGTGGGACATACCTCCCTTCGTTACTTCGGCTGGTTGCCTTGCACCGATTCAACCACCTCCGCATAAAGCTGGATAGCCGGGATTCGGGCCCCAGTGGCCGTTTGGCTCAGTTCGGTATGCCCCTCTTACGTATCGGGCTCAGATATGGTACTCGACAACGCTTGCTTTACTCCGTTCCACCAGTGTCCCAGTATCCGCCAGCTAGGCCCAGGGTACCCGACTTGGGCTCCATCTTGTCTTTTAGGGCATGACCAAGGGCAACATCAACCCTTTTCCATACTCTTAGCGCCTTCCCCTTTTTTGTGTGGTGCTCGTTTATTAGATTATGGGTACGGGACTTTAACATGCCACACACTGGCTTCCAGTTTGAGCAAGCGATGCCTTTCACGTATCCGAGTGGCTAAGGAGACGGGCTTCCTCAACCTCCACAACGAGATGTGAGTGGGCTGTGTTTCCTCTACCGAGCGCTACAGGACCGAGGCCTCACGCTCAAACCAGAGAAACAAACCAGCACAGAACCCGGCGTTGCCACCGAGCCATCCCATTGCAGCCACGATAAGATACGAGTTGGGTTACATCTACCGAGTGCGACAAACCGAAGTCTGACACTCAAACCAGAGGCACTACCAACCCAGACTCGACATTGCGGTCGAGCCATCTCATCGTGAGTGGAAAGACACGATGCTAGAGACATCCACCGTAACTGAAATAGTCCGGCGATTTCTCCCATGCACCACGAAAGCATTAACTCCCACGTGGCATCACCATGCTTCCGATTGTCATTCCACGTTAAGAAAACTCTAGGACACACCGTCCTTGACCTACTAACATGTTCAGGTACCCGTGCATCGTCCTGCGTCCGACCGAGATCGTCCACAGTCAACATGGGTCTCATTCCAGGTTTTTGGCCTCAAGTGAGCTTCGAGCTTTCCCCCTGAAAAAGAGTCGACCGTCTCAACCACTGCATATGAGTTTTGCAAGTTGCACCGACATCAACTTCTTTATGGCAGTGGTTGAGCACCCAGTTGGTTCAGACCCCTTGCGAGGAGTGATCCGATTGGGTTCTCCTCTTTTTCCCTGGTTCCAATAAGCCTGAATCCTACCCTCCCCAACCCATGGGTCAATGACGCCGCCTCGCAACGAGGGGGGGCCACCTAGCCATAGGCGGATTGGGATACGAAACCGACCGCATATTACCAGTGTCAAGAAGTTTGTAGGGACCGAGCGGACCCAAAGAGTAACCTTCCTCCTTGGGTATTCCACCTTGCTTGTGGTTCGAGGGCCAGTTCCTCCTCTCCCCATTTTACCAGGCGATCCTCCGCACCTGGAGAGCTTACCGCCCCCTCCGCTGGGGTCTGTGCACACCAACCCTCCGAGGAGAGTCCATGCGCACGTCTCACAGGACGCTCCCCCCCGGATCACAGAGTGCCGCCCTCTGTGGCCCGGGCCGATGCCTCATAGGACCTCATGACAAGCTCGACTTCATACCTAGATAATCCGCCTTGCTTGTGGTTCGAGAGCCAGTTCCTCCTCTCCCCATTTTTCCAGGTGATCCTCCGCACCTGGAAAGCTCCCCGCCCCCTCCGCTGGGGTCTGTGCACACCAACCCTCCGAAGAGAGTCCATGCGCACGTCTCACGGGATGCTCCCCCCTGGATCACAGAGTGCCACCCTCCGTGTTCCGGGCCGGTGCCTCATAGGATCTCATGACAAGCTTAGACTTCATACCTAGGTAATCCGCCTTGCTTGTGGTTCGAGAGCCAGTTCCTCCTCTCCCCATTTTCCCAGGTGATCCTCCGCACCTGGAGAGCTCCCCGCCCCCTCCGCTGGGGCCTGTGCGCACCAACCCTCCGAAGAGAGTCCATGCGCACGTCTCACGGGACGCTCCCCCCCGGATCACAGAGTGCCGCCCTCCGTGGCCCGGGCCGGTGCCTCATAGGACCTCATGACAAGCTTAGACTTCATACCTAGGTAATCCGCCTTGCTTGTGGTTTGAGGGCCAGTTCTCCTCTCCCCGAATTATTACTACGGAAAGGCCTCGGATTACCTTGGCTTACCGACTTTTCAAGCAACCGTCCTACCCAAAGATTAGTGAGAAGAGGTGAAAAGCCACTTCCCCCTAACCTTCTTAGGCTAACCACCTGGATTACGTTGGCTTACCGTCGTTTGGCGCAACCGAGTGACCCTTGCAAAGGTTCGGGGAGAGGTGGAGCACCCCTTCCCCCGGATTCTCTTAGGCCAACCACCCGGATTACGCTGGCTTACCGTCGTTTGGAGCAATCGATTCCCAGATGCCAGGGGTTGGGGAGAGGTGGAGCACCCCTCCCGCCCAGTATTCTTAGGCCAATGACCTGGATTACGTTGGCTTACCGTCGTTTGGGGCAATCGATTTCCCCGTGGCAAGGGTTGGGGAGAGGTAGAGCACTCCTCCCCTCCGTTGTTCTTAGGCCAGTGACCCGGATTACGTTGGCTTACCGTCGTTTGGGGCAATCTATGCCCACATGCCAAGGGTTGGGGAAAGATAGAGCACCCCTCCCCTCCGGTATTCTTAGGCCAATGACCCGGATTACGTTGGGTTACCGTCATTTGAGGCAACCGTATGACCCATGCCAGGGGTCGGGGAGAGGTAGAGCACCCCTCCCCTGCAGTATTCTTAGGAAAACCACCTCGATTACGTTGGCTTACCGTCGTTTGGGGCAATCGGTTCCACCATGCCAGGGGTTGGGGAGAGGTAAGGAGCCCCTCCCCTCCGGCATTCTTAGGCCAATGACCTGGATTACGTTGGCTTACCGTCGTTTGGGGCAACCGGATGCCCCGAGCCAAGGGTTGGGGAGAGGTGGAGCACCCCTCCCCTCCTGTATTCTTAGGCCAATGACCCCGATTACGTTGGGTTACCATCGTTTGGGGCAATCGGATGGCCCATGCCAAGGGTTGGGGAGAGGTGGAGCACCCCTCCCCCCCCCCGTATTCTTAGGCCAATGACCTGGATTACGTTGGGTTACCGTCGTTTGGGGCAATCGGATGGCCCGTGCCAAGGGTTGGGGAGAGGTGGAGCACCCCTCCCCCCCCCCGTATTCTTAGGCCAATGACCTGGATTACGTTGGGTTACCGTCGTTTGGGGCAATCCGATGGCCCGTGCCAAGGGTTGGGGAGAGGTGGAGCACCCCTCCCCCCCCCCGTATTCTTAGGCCAATGACCTGGATTACGTTGGGTTACCGTCGTTTGGGGCAATCGGATGGCCCATGCCAAGGGTTGGGGAGAGGTGGAGCACCCCTCCCCCCCCCCGTATTCTTAGGCCAATGACCTGGATTACGTTGGGTTACCGTCGTTTGGGGCAATCCGATGGCCCGTGCCAAGGGTTGGGGAGAGGTAGAGCACCCCTTCCCCCCCCGTATTCTTAGGCCAATGACCTGGATTACGTTGGGTTACCGTCGTTTGGGGCAATCCGATGGCCCGTGCCAAGGGTTGGGGAGAGGTAGAGCACCCCTTCCCTCCTGTATTCCTAGGCCAATGACCTGGATTACGTTGGGTTACCGTCGTTTGGGGCAATCAAGTCCCCGGAACCCAAGTGATGGAATCCATCCGGATCGGACCCCGGATGGGTTTGATCGAACCCATTCGGATGGAACCCATCCGGATCTGGATCGATCGAACCCATTCGGATCCGAGTCGATCGAACCCATCCTTATCGAGCCGATCCGGATCCGGATCGATCGAACCCGTGTGGATCAAACCCATCCGGATCTGGATCAATTGAACCCATCCGGATCCGGATCGATCGAACCCATCCGGATCCGAGTCGATCGAACCCATTCGGATAGAACCCATCCCTATCGAGCCCATCCGGATCCGAGTCGATCGAACCCATTCGGATCGAACCCACCCGGGTCCGGATCGATCGAATCCGTCCGGATCCGGATCAAATGAACCCTTTCGGACCCAAGCCCATCCGGATCCGGATCGATCGAACCCATCCGGATCCGAGCCGATCGAACCCATCCGGATCCGAGTCGATCGAACCCATCCGGATCCGGATCGATCGAACCCATCCGGATCCGGTTCGATCGAACCCATTCGGATGGAATCGATCCGGATCCGAGTCGATCGAACCAATCCGGATCCGAGTCGATCGAACCCATTCGGATCGAACCCATCCGGATCCGAGTCGATCGAACCCATTCGGATCGAACCCATCCTTATCGAACCCATCCGGATCCGGATCGAACCCATCCGGATCCGGTTCGATCGAACCGATTCGGATGGAATCGATCCGGATCCGAGTCGGTCGAACCCATTTGGATCGAACCCACCCGGGTGCGGATCGATCGAACCCATCCGGATCCGGTTCGATCGAACCCATTCGGATGGAATCGATCCGGATCCGAGTCGATCGAACCAATCCGGATCCGAGTCGATCGAACCCATTCGTATCGAACCCATCCGGATCCGAGTCGATCGAACCCATCCTTATCGAACCCATCCGGATCCGGATCGATCGAACCCATCCGGATCCGGTTCGATCGAACCCATCCGGATCCGGTTCGATCGAACCGATTCGGATGGAATCGATCCGGATCCGAGTCGATCGAACCCATTTGGATCGAACCCATCCGGATCCGGATTCACCGGCCCCATTCGTATCGAACCCATTCGGGTCCGGATCGATCGAACCATCAAGGTCAAAGCCTAGGCAGGGTATTCCTATGCCAATGGCCTGCATTGCGTTGGGTTACGATTGTTTGGGGCAATCAAGAACCGAAACCCAAGTGATGGGGAGTGGTAGAATGCCCCATCCCTAGAGTATTCCTAGGCCTATGACCTGGATTACGTTGGGTTACCGTCGTTTGGGGCAATCCGAAAACACATGGCCGAATGATGGGGAGAGGAAAAATACCACTTCCCTAGGGTATTCCTAGGCCTATGGCCTGGATTACGTTGGGTTACCGTCGTTTGGGGCAATCCGAAAACATATGGCCAAATGATGGGGAGAGGAAAAATACCACTTCCCTAGGGTATTCCTAGGCCTATGACCTGGATTATGTTGGGTTACCGTCGTTTGGGGCAATCCGAAAACACATGGCCGAATGATGGGGAGAGGAAAAATACCCCTTTGCTGGGGTATTAATAGGCCTATGGCATGGATTACGTTGGGTTGCCATCGTTTGGGGCAACCTGTTTATGCGTTCATGGGATGCCAAGATTGACCCTAGGGACCCCCCAGCCGGGTCATTTGATCCCAAGGGCGGATTTGAACCGGCCCATGGGTTCATCCAATTCAAGAGCCCATCCCCGCTCGGCCATTCTGACCCCCCCAGCCGGTTCATTTGACCCCAAGGGCGGATTTGAACCGGCCCATGGGCTCATCCAACCCTTGGGCCCATCCCCCCTCGGTTTTTTTACCCCCACCCGGTCCATTGGACCCCTAGGGCGGATTTGAACCGGCCCATGGGCTCATCCAACCCAAGATCCCATCCCCCCTCGGTTATTTGACCCCCCAGCCGGTCCATTGGACCCCAGGGGCGGATTTGAACCGGCCCATGGGTTCATCCAACCCAGGAGGATCCCATCCCCCCTCGGTTATTTGACCCCCCACCCGGTTCATTCGACCCCAAGGGCGGATTTGAACCGGCCCATGGGTTCATCCAATTCAAGAGCCCATCCCCCCTCGGTTTCTTTTACCCCCCAGCCGGTTCATTTGACCCCAAGGGCGGATTTGAACCGGCCCATGGGCTCATCCAACCCTTGGGCCCATCCCCCCTCGGTTTTTTTACCCCCCACCCGGTCCATTGGACACCTAGGGCGGATCTGAACCGGCCCATGGGCTCATCCAACCCAAGATCCCATCCCCCCTCGGTTATTTGACCCCCCAGCCGGTCCATTGGACCCCAGGGGCGGATTTGAACCGGCCCATGGGTTCATCCAACCCAGGAGGATCCCATCCCCCCTCGGTTATTTGACCCCCCACCCGGTTCATTCGACCCCAAGGGCGGATTTGAACCGGCCCATGGGTTCATCCAATTCAAGAGCCCATCCCCCCTCGGTTTCTTTTACCCCCCAGCCGGTTCATTTGACCCCAAGGGCGGATTAGAACCGGCCCATGGGTTCATCCATCCCTTGGGACCACCCCCCCTCGGTTTTTTTTTACCCCCCGCCCGGTCCATTGGACCCCAGGGGCGGGTTTGAACCGGCCCATGGGTTCATCCAACCCAGGATCCCATCCCCCCTCGGTTATTTGACCCCCCCGCCGGTTCATTTGACCCCAAGGGCGGATTTGAACCGGCCCATGGTTTCATCCGACCCAAGAGCCCATTCCCCCTCCGTAATTCGACCCCCCAGCCGGTTCATTCGACCCCAAGGGCGGATTTGAACCGGCCCATGGGTTCATCCAATTCAAGAGCCCATCCCCGCTCGGCCATTCTGACCCCCCCAGCCGGTTCATTTGACCCCAAGGGCGGATTTGAACCGGCCCATGGGCTCATCCAACCCTTGGGCCCATCCCCCCTCGGTTTTTTTACCCCCCACCCGGTCCATTGGACCCCTAGGGCGGATTTGAACCGGCCCATGGGCTCATCCAACCCAAGATCCCATCCCCCCTCGGTTATTTGACCCCCCAGCCGGTCCATTGGACCCCAGGGGCGGATTTGAACCGGCCCATGGGTTCATCCAACCCAGGAGGATCCCATCCCCCCTCGGTTATTTGACCCCCCACCCGGTTCATTCGACCCCAAGGGCGGATTTGAACCGGCCCATGGGTTCATCCAATTCAAGAGCCCATCCCCCCTCGGTTTCTTTTACCCCCCAGCCGGTTCATTTGACCCCAAGGGCGGATTTGAACCGGCCCATGGGTTCATCCATCCCTTGGGACCACCCCCCCTCGGTTTTTTTTTACCCCCCGCCCGGTCCATTGGACCCCAGGGGCGGGTTTGAACCGGCCCATGGGTTCATCCAACCCAGGATCCCATCCCCCCTCGGTTATTTGACCCCCCCGCCGGTTCATTTGACCCC